CTGCCATTTTACGTTTGTGCTTTAGGGATTCTCAGGGGAATGGATTCCTGTGTGGGTGAATTACTTATCACTTGTGGAAATTGAGGATGCGATATAGTCCACCGCACCTCCAAGGTTCCTCTCTCTCACAATCCCATTCAGCCCTGAGAGCTGCAAGGTGTTGGCGAACACTGCAGACAGGGTACAGTATCATGTGTGAAATGGTGGTGTCGGTAAGACCCCCCCCCTCTCGAGCAAGAGTCTTGGTACGACCTCGCCCCCTCACCTAAAAGAGGGTCTCGGTACACCCAAGAATTCAGGGCACATCATTGGTTGAGGATTTTTGTCGAGTCCTACACCCCCCCGCCCTCTTTTTTTTGGTACGGTACAACCCTCCTCAGGCCCTCCTCATCAAATCGAGCCGTCGAGCTCGTCGAAAAATCAACTATCGAAATGCATTCATCTCGCCCAAATAAGACTGTCGGGGATTATCCAACAACGATGTGCCCTGCAAGAATTTCCCGTCGAGGGGGGGGGAGATAAATAGAACATGTGAAACGTAAAAAAACGCGAAAAATCAACAATCGGGAAAAATTTTCCACGAGCAAATTTCTCTCGGAGCCACACACGACCCCCCTCTTCCGACATTCACCATACGACGCCCCCCCCCCTCCCCACCGGAAGAGTACGATCCCCTATGTGTTTTACACGATGGCCTGCTGATTGCTGCACCCTGATTGCCAGACGCTGCCCCCCAAGACAAACAACATCACAATATACGTTGAATCACTTAATGCAAATGAGGCCGATGGGGTGTGATGTGACTCGCCAGAACGTCGACCGTTCATATATTATACTTTTATAACCTAGTTTCTCAAGATCAATCACATTCTGCAAAGATTGCCGCCACCATCAATCAGCACTTCTTTCTATCGGATCATCATGCGTCAGATATCCGAATTACATCATCATTTTTTATCCTCAAGCAAAAAGATTTCCCATCCTATTCTACCATGTGAGCATTTTACGGTTGGGAACTCTTGGTAATCAGCTGTTCTCGGGGACCAGGGACACGCAGAAAGAATGACTGAGGATAAGCAAAGATCGGATGGCTCACTTCAGCTCGTTGCTGCTTTAGCAAAGCCTTAGTAGTCACACAAAGTGGTAGCGTGTAATAGATGACCTAGCGAAAGAACAGCGAGTGTTTGAACGGCCCACCTCTTCCCTCCCCTCGACTATCAGTGAGAGGAGCATCGGATGACCACACTACGATAATGTTGCCGGAGATGGCAGCATGCTTGCGCACCGGTACTTCTAAGCAGAATCTGAGCTGACTTTAGCTTAATACAATAGTTCCATGGGGCGGCAGAAGTAGAAGAGCAGCTGTCTCTCATCAAAGTACCATCCCTGGGTTCGCAATCTCGGAATCGACTGTACATCCATCTCATGCGACGGGTGCGGGTGTGGCTGGGCCGGTCTGCTTTGGTGCGTTTGGCCAAAATCGTTCTGCCACCAGTTTGAAGCGGGCAAGATGGCAATTACATGTATTAATAAACTTCGTATCAACTCGTTTTCACACTTTGTGTCGCATACGCGATTGCTTTAAAAAAAGGCTAAGAACGCATAAAAACAACAGTGTGCGCACTCCTGGTGCTGGACACCCACCGGTCGGATGTCACTCGACCATGCTGGCGCGGTGACGTGGATTTCGTGTGCGTAGGCGTGGGACTTGTGTTTCCCCGTCACTACCCGGAGGTCAACTCTTGGCACTATCAGTGTATGAACACTGAACTGAATAACGACGTACCCTGGAAGTGCCATTGTATCGGCCCTCAAGGGATCTTTTACCACTTTGACGAGTAGATGCATGGCTAAGACCATTGCTGCAAGGGAATCGGTCCACGAGAAGAAGCTCATCCTCAGAACTTCCCCGAATGAACTAAGTGGCCAGCTGATTTAGAGGCATGACTCTGTTCCATTGCCTCGGACAAGGCCATACAAATCAACTGAAACTGCAGATGAAATTTAGATTTCACGGTATTTGTTCCATGAACAAAGCAGGTGCTGACGGCGCCCCTCACCACCATACCATCCTTTCGCAAAAAACCTTTGTGGAGGCTGGCATGGTTAATTTTTTTCTAGTATTTGGTGCAATTTCGCAACTGTTTTTTTCAAGTGGAAATTTCTTAGCATCTCTTCCGTACTACTGTGCCCTAGGCTAATTTATAGCTGCTCTCCTGAGTTATCTTATGTGATCAAACGGAATAAATAAATCAAAAAACAGATAAATACGTATAAATAAACAAATAAATAAATGATTAAATAAATAATAAATAGGCAAATAAAGAAATAAATAGAATGCCACTAAAGGTGTTGAAGAAGGGTGACAAGTGGGAAACAATCCTATGTAACACGGCCATCCAGTTTATTTCCTGATCTCTTCGTGCCATGGTCAAAATAACGGGAGTGCCCATGATTTGTTGCCCAGACATGTGTCGATGAAGATATTCTCGGAGCGAAACGAGATCAATTTGTCTCCGTAAGCCACAAAATGCGAGATCTCTCGCTATATCCCACATCATTTGGAAATGATCAATCCCAGTGAAATCAATAGGTGATCCTGCCCTTGCAATGGAATGGGGGAGGGGCTAAGGATAGTTCGCTTTTTCTCTATGTTTTTTGCTTTACGACAGATACTCTTTACAAGAGTAGACATTGACTGGTATCACTTCATATCCTAAGAAGATGACGAAAATCTCCTTCTGATGGCTCTACACCAGCGGGAAGTAGCGAAGGTGCAGAGACCCCACCCAGCTAACCTGCAGCCGGTATCCCCTCTCCCTCCCCCTCGGAAGGCGCCATGAAATTTTTTTAAATTACTGTAAAACTTATTTAATTCGCGGCCGAAATGATTAAACGCTGACTGTGAAGTAAGACTGTAAAGAGAAATTAGAGTCACTGATAAAAGAGTGCTGCCTTAGCATTTAATAAACACTGTCTAATGGCGATGAGGGGTCACGGTTGCTCAGCGCGAAACTCTTTTTTCCACTTCTCTTCAACTTCTATATACGTCATCTACATCTCAACCTCCATTTTTAAGTGAAACTTCTTAAGCGATGGAAGTAGCAATGGTATAACGTGGGGTGGTGTACACCATTACCAGAAAGTAAAATCTCAATTTTTCTCCTGAAAATTTTCATGCCCTTTTCATGGTGCGCGCCCTTTTCAGCAAATTCTGCAGGTTGAATACCATTCATTGTTGACGATTGCCCATTAATATGTTGGTGGTCTTCGACTTGGAGGGGCACTTGCACTCTTCCTGGTTCCTTTTGCTGAAATTTGTCGCCCAACAGGTTAGCACTTGTAAATCCTTCGGATGTTGTGAAATGGTACAAATGAGCCATTCTTGTTGCAGGATTTTACAGACCCTCACAAGGTGGCTTGTACAAGCCCACTGGCACCATTCTGTGCCGAGCGAACCAAGCCGAACTGCATCCATGTGCCTTAGCTCTGCAACTTTTTTCTGGTTCATCCTTAGGGGGAACGATGATTTGACGAATGATTTAGGTCAGCGACAAAATAAGAATTCTCTTGAACGGTTCTCAATGCAATAATATTGGAGGTGGCATATGAAGGAATTTTACAAGACTGGAATGACCGCACACAGATACTTGGAAACGGTTTACCCATCCCGTAGCTTCCTCCAGTGTGGGCTTGGACAAAATTCCCCATCAACATTGGGGTCCTAGTTTTGCAATAGGAATCCCTGAAATGCTACGGTTTTTAGCGCCTAATCCTTGTATCAATTGTGCAGCTCCTTTTGGGTGCCTTGCTCGGTGCCTAGGATGCCCCTTGCCCCTAGAAGTTACTTCACCCGCTCCTTGGTTTTTCTATGATTTTTTTGTTTCGGAGTTCCCCTTCCGATCACGTTTTCATTTTGAAAAGCTAAAGCAAAAGTAGTTAGGGCTCTCAGCCATTCAGTTCTGATAGGCCCCCTAGCCAGCTTTATCTGTTGAAAAGCTTTTGCAAGAGGAAACTCATTCTCTCTTCTCTTTTTCCCCAACGCCCGCCTTTCCTGCTCCTATCTGCAGCGTATGATCAAGCAGAAATCCAGCGGATATATAGACTAATTAATCTAAGCTTAGGGAATCTTGGAACCTCCCCGCAGCGAATGCCGACGTATCCAGCTGCTCATGAAATTGATGAGGCCCTCCTCACCTGTGGAGAAGATTAATCGCCTTGGGTGAAGAAGTCGCCCACATTACCTTCCATTGAGGTTTCGTTATAGTGGTAACTAAGATTCGCTAATACACGAGAAAAAAATGACTGAAATTCAAAAGGATTGCTCTTCTCAATTTCTCAGGACGCGCCGCGCACTTTCATTTTTATTCGAAATTGCAGTTGCGCTTGAAAGCGACTTGACTCATTCAAAATACTGAGAGGGCAGGTCCGATACAGAAGTTTGGTTTTACACTACCGGAGTCTTCAACAAATAAGCGAACCGGAGAAGATATGTCCTGGTGTTCGAGACGTGTCATTCCAGCCATGCTCGTGCAAGCACCCTACTTGCAGCTACTTTATCTCATCCTTCGAAAATATCTCCGGGTGGGTTAGAAACCAAGAGTAGGCATTAATGATGAGGATCTAACGAGTCACACCCTTCAAAGTTATCGAAATTACGTCTCAAGGTGCCAGTTGATATTATCAATCTGGCGGAATGATGTCAGGAGGTGCAGGATCGAGCCACTCGAGGATTACGATTACGATTGAGAAAAAACTATTGCATAATTAACCCGATAGAGTGGGTATCGTGATAAGTAACGAAGAGAGCCTACAGCCACATTTGGCTCACAGCTCCCTGCTGAGGTTATCCGGGTCTCATTTCCACCGAGAAATGGCGTGCAGTAGCAAATCCTCTGATCTAGTCGAATGATTGTAGACAATATTTTTGAGAAGAATTTGTTCAATATTCCTCTTAATAAGTAAAAAAAAGAGTGGAAGTGCACCGAAAAGGTGCTACTCTAAAGCAGCAAACCTCCTTCTGATCCCTGACGTTGCTTGCGTTTGAAAGTCTTCTTCAGATACTGAAAAATAGCCGAGTACGATGGAAGCCTTTTCCATATCCCTGAATTCCGATTTCAGTACAAAAGGGATGCAGTTCATCGAGCAGAGTTGAACAGGACTCACTGTTCGCAGTGTGAAACATGATTGTACCCCAATCGTTCAGGATCGTGATAACCATCGGTATACCGATAATCGCGTAAATCATCGTGAATATACGACCCCAAAACGTTACAGCTGCCAAATCTCCATAACCTGTAAGATTCTCAAACAATTTGTCAGCTACATATTGGCGTACCTTTACAATTTTTACAATATATTTACAATCAAAAGAGTTATAGGCAAGCGAAGTTCGAACGCACCCCACGCATACTGGACGAGTGCGCTTCTCATTACGCCGAAACGGTCGCCTTTCAACATTTCAGCTCAGTGGGCCTTACAGCACTCATATTTTTTCGCTGGGCCGTGTCAGGGAAGGGCTGAGTTTTCCCATTCTCCAGAAATTGTTGGTGCGAGCAAACGACTACAACTGTTGGTAAACGGGCTGG